AAAGATGCACCCCCATCATTCTTGTCTTTTGTGCATTTGTTGAGTAGTGCGGCGAGGCCTTTCTACCCTCCTCTCTGTTGTCCAATTTTAACGGATGTCCAGAAGGACGGCAATTGGCCGTTGGAGTGAACAGACTGACCCTCTTTATTTGGGGGGAGGTAGAGGGGGGGGGTGGGGGCGGGGGAAGGGAGGAGTTTAGTTTTGAACTTCAAACCGCCACTGGCCGATGACTACCGTCTTCCCCCCCCAATTATAACGTACCCTGATTCTGAATGTATACAATCCATCTTTCTGGTTGAATGCACTCATAATGAGGGAGAGGGTTGTGGTTGGGGGAACGGTAGGGACGGAAACACACTGAACTCGCAACGGTTCAGATCTGTCTTATTGGAATTGGCGGCTGCGTTTGGATTGAACAGACCGACCGTTTTTCTTTTTTTTTTCTCTTTCCTTTTCTTTTCACCTTTTAATAAGGCTATGTAGCCCAGGCCAATTCGATCTTCAACCTCAGGCAGAGGTTGGCGTACAGACTGACTGCCAGTGTACTCAGTACCAGTCTGCTTTTTTTCGTTTTCTCTCCCAGTGGAGTTTGAACTCAGGGCTGTATTTCAACAGTTGAGGGGTGTACCAACGGCCTTGAGATATCGTCATTGAACTGACCGGCCTCAGGCAATTCAGAGCAATTTTTATTCAGGACAGTCGAGCACGAGCAAGGCGGGCTTGTCCTGGCATGGGGAGCAAAGGCGGGTTTTCGGAGTGGGGAGTTCTTAACATAGCAGCAAATAGAGTCTACATGAACACACCTGAATATGCAAGAGCCAAAGAACGCTGATCTACAGCGTCCTTCCCATGGAATATGTGGAGGAGTCCAGGGATAGACAAGATTCTCACGCCAGTATTTGCAAGTGGAGCTGGAGCGGTATCCCTCCGGCCAGGCAGTGAGGCCGGACCAGTTTCAGGCGGCCGGCCTGACCCTGGTCCGATACCAGGTTATTCCGCTACTGGACCCAGGCCGGTATATCACTTCGGCCTAGGTCCAGGGCGGCAGGTTCATTCATTCAGTGGTTCGTTCGTTCATTGAGCCGGACTGGACCTCCACTCATGTTGCTTCATTTGTGTGTCCATCTCCTCTCCCTCTCTCTCCTCTCTCTCACCATCTCCGCGCGTGTCCACCACGTGCTGCCACAGGAGCTCTCGACTGGGCCAGAGTGTTATGCGGACAACGCGTGTATGGAATGGCGAGAAGTCGAAAGTGGGTTTTTACTATTAGGAGGAAAAAGGTGCTTGTGACAGTAGGCAAAGTAGGGATCTGGTTTCATCTTGTAGTGGGAGGATGAGAGGTGTCAGCAAAGTAGAGAAGAAGATATTCAGTGGGGAGGTTAGGTGAACGGGGTTGGGAGGAAGGCGCCCAGAAGTCTCGAGAGAGCCAATGGGAGTAAGACACAAGTCACGAAGAGGGGAGAGTTGCCAGTACCGGGAAAGGAGAGCGTAAGGGGGATAGGCGGTCCATACCACGTGGCAGTTTTCAGTTAAAAAAAGACACTCGGATTGTGACGCCCAACCTCACGCCCAACGCAACTTCCTGTTTTCAGAGTGCTAGTGGGCCTGGAAGTGCGAACGGGGTTGGGAGGAAGGCGCCCAGAAAAGAAGATGCAAGGCGGATTGTGACGCCCAACCTCACGCCCAATGCAACTTCCTGTTTTCAGAGTGCTAATGGGCCTGGAAGTGCGAAAAGGGGTGTGCCAAGGATTTTAGGAAAGTGGGGGTGGAGTTCCAGGTCGGAAGTAGAATTCGCTCTGTCAAGCTCCGGGGGTAGAAGTGCAAGTGTCTCCTTCGGCTCAAAGTTGGGGTGATTGCCGATCACGCGGCCTGGGCCGCGTATGGTGCTCGGGTGGGGCGCTACGGGTGTCTCAGTGGGAATGCTCGTACCGTTGTCGGCCGACGCAAGTCTCCGGGGCTGGTGAGGACGAACTGCGCTCTCGTTGTTCGGTTTCGGAATGGGTTCATCGAGTGATCCCCGCCGGATGGTACTCGTCGTGCTGCTGACACTCTGAGCACGGCGGTCGGGGCCAAAATCGAGCTATGGACTCCCAGGGGACGACGAGTAGTTGGTGGTAGGGGATGACGATGTAATAGGGAGGGAAGTTAGTGGTGATGGCCACGAAGCCCGGGGTTAGAAGGTAATGCTGGGTTCGACTGTCAGGATAATCCGGGATCTGGGAGTCTCGGTTTGTTGCCTGCTGGAAATCGCCCCTGCACAGTTGCTCGTTTCCAGTTCGGCAGGGGTACTCAGGATTCTGCAGGTTTCGTTGCTGCCTGGTCTCTTGCCGTCTGACTTGTTCCCTTTCCCAATACGCTCGGTATTCCGGATCTCTCAGGCTCTCGCGATCGATAATCCAAAAAGGAGTTACGATCGCCATATCCTATTTGGCGGAATTTAGCGCAGGCACCCTCGACGAGCGGGATCGGGTGGGCTCTTGCACGCACGCGCGTAGGCCGCAGGTTACCCTTGCGGGTGGCTACCTTACTCATGTGTGCCCACGAGCCAGCCGATCGGATCGGAGACTGCGTGCGAGCACGCTGCCAATGAGCGATTTACTTGTGTGTCGGCTTATCCTATATGCCTGCAGTTAGTCCTTTCGTGCAACTGTTATCCAAATCTCAGGCATAACTAATCATTGCATACATGCTCACACCATCATACATAACAGAGGGCAACGTTAGTTTGGCATCCAGACCCAACGCACCCTGTGATCCTCGCAATCATGCGCGACTCAAAAACAAGTGATTGGACGAGATGCGCACGCAGGTCATTATACGCGCAATGTGGACGGGTACTCAAAAGTGACGAAATTGGTTTTGAGCAAAACAAAATGGGAGATTAAGGACAATTCGGAACAAATAAAAAAGGGAGATGCGAGTTCATTCATCCTTATGCATACATATACACAAAGCAGATAGTCCGAGACGATTGACACAAGAAATCCGAAGGTGCGGCAACGGAATTGCCCAACGTTGCAATCAAAACTTTACATAGAAGGTAGGGAGAAGAAGACATTGTTCCACCGTATCCCAGTCTCTCTCTCTCTCTCTCTCTCTCTCTCTCTCTCTCTCTCTCTCTCTCTCTCTCTCTCTCTCTCTCTCTCTCTCTCTCTCTC